AGCCTCCGGTGCCTCTGGCCTTGGCCTCGGTCACTTTAGCCAGAGACCTTGAGCGTGCCCTTCTTCCAGTGGTCCTGGGGTTATTTGTCCTTTGGGGATTGACTAGGTTCACTCAGCCTCATGTTTACCACGTTCACCCAGGCCAGGAAGTGCTTCACCGTTCATCATGAATCTTTAGCAGCGCATACTATTGTTTTATACATACTTATTTTCAAGGATCTCTATTTGCTTGTTTACATAATGGGCTATTAGTTTAGTGGATGCAGAATCTTCCATAACCTTCCTAGAGCTCTTCATTTCTTCTCCTTTTAAAACTTGAGTCCCGGTGCTTTTACGAGTTTGGCTGTTCAATACAAGGGCAACAGATCAAATCCACTGTTGCACCTTGGTTGAAAGACAAGGCTGTCTACTCTCATGAAGAGTTAAGTCTCAGAAACTCAAAGGGGCAGTTCCACTCTGTTTCACAGCGACACTACGAGTTGGCATCCAGTTGATGGCACTGGTCTTTTTTTTTTAAGTTGAGGAAAACTAGTCATGAAAGTGTATACTTCGGTGGTACTTAGGACTATTGATTATTTTAAGATAATCAATTACTCTGTTAGCACACACACGTTCTGTTAGTGACTCCACGTGTCTAAGCGTAGAACTGTTTCATAGGGTTTTCAATAGCTTTTTTAAAGAAGTTGAATGCCAGTCCTTTTTTCGAAGGCACTCCTGAGCGAACTTGAGCCGCCAACAGTTTGGTCAGCAGCTGAGAACTGTCCCCCTACTCGGGTGTTTTTTTTGTTTTTATTTTCAGGGTGAGGACCAAAAGGCTGTCTGTTGTCTGTGTGAACCCACCGAGAGGCCCTGGGAAGAAAGGCCTGGTGATCTGCTTCCAGAAGGCCCCAGCCTTGAGAAGCCAAGGGCGTGCAGTTTCACTCTGCAGCGCATGGGGCCACCCTGAGTCCCATCAACGTGCAGGAAGAGTTTAGGTTTCTGTTGGCTTTCTGTCAGGCTGTTGGCTTTCCTTCCTTGCTGAATTTGGCTGACTTTGTGTATGGGAATTCCGATTTGCCTGATTGCTGATTGGATTACAATGGAGGGTTTCTTCTAATTTGGGCGAAGACATGGCTGGCTGATGAAGTTCTGTTTTCTGTTGGTTTATCTGCTGGCTCTGGGAATTCCTAGTGCTTCCTGGTTGCTGTTAGCTACCTACCTAGGGCACTGCCCTGCCTGTCTACCGTGGGATCTTTGCTATTGCTGCCCATCTGTTGTGAGCTAGGCGTCCCCTCCAGAGCAATCTCTATGGGGGCAGACTCCCTAAGAAGAAAGCAAGCATGGGCTCACTGGTGCGTACTTACTCATCTGTAGTGAACACTTTCACCTGGGTTTCATTGTGGTGAAGCTGCTGACCAAACTACAGATGAGTAAGTAAGCACAAGTAAGCCCGTGGCTTTCCAAACCAAACTCACTGCATGGACTCAAGGTGACCCTATAGGACAGAGGCGAACTGTTCCTGTGGGTTTCCGAGGCGGCCACTCTTGGCAGGCGCTGCTATGCGCTGCAATGCACCAGATGACAGTGCATTTGGCGCCTCACCTGCTTTTTTTTTTTTTTTTTGAGTAATCCTGACCTGCCCCTTCAGGAAGGGCCCTTACCAGGAAGAGGGACCAGGCACTGAGGACTTCCTCCCCGCCCCCTCCCCCTCCTGACTCTGGAAGCGAAACTGCTCCAAAGCAGATGCCACACCTGCTGTGGCTGCTTCAGGCTCTGCCCAGGACTGCTGAGGGGGCTATTTGCCCAGGCGTCTCACCTACCCTCCTCTGCCCTCACTCCTACTCCCATCTCACCGTGGTCTGGAGCCCCTGGAAGTTGGACAGCTTTCTACCCCCACTCCCCCACCTCAGCCAAGTGTCAACTATTAGATTGAACCATATGAAGCTGCTGTTTCTGTAAGTCAAGGAGGCGCCCTGAAGGCGCTGTGGGCTAGGCTTTGTGCTGCCAACCACAAAGTAGGCAGCTCAAATCCACAAGCTGACCCTCTGGGGAAAGCAGCCTCGGGCCTCTTCGGTAAAGATGTGCAACCTTGGAACCTGTAGGGGGAGCAGTTCTGCTTTGTCCTGTAGTGTCGATATGAGTCAGACTCAGCTGATGGCAGTGGGTTCTGGTGTATAGGTCAAAATGTTTGGTTAAGTATTGGCAGTTTCCGGTGGTTCACACGCTTGACTGCTAGTGGAAAGGTTGGCAGTTCAAGCCTATCAGAGGATCCTCAGAAGAAAGGCCTAGCAATCTTCTGTCAAAAAACCAGCTACTGGACACCCCATGCCACCCAGTTCTACTCTGACACACAGATCGCCCCAAGTCCAAGGTCAACGGAACTGGCAATTTCTAGGCTCCTCTGGTACAATGGTTAAGGGCTTGGCTGCTAAGCAAAAATGGTGCATTCGTTCCTAAACGGCTTCACCTCTAGAGCACTTGGTTGTGGATGGCTGTAGTCTGCAGTCCTTCCATTTTGAGCTCCTATGCCATCTGAGCTCGTTGCTACTTCCCTAATGCTTGCTGATCATTAGCAGCATGGTGATGGTGAAACCAGGGCTGGGGCCAACCCAGGGAGAGGCCCTCTGCCCTGAGGAAGAATGTGTTGGAAAGCAGATCAACCAGTATCTAGACAGTGTTCACACACAGTGGGAGCGAACTGGCCCCAGCATTACGGAGAGCTGCCAATCAGACACACGTTATCTCAATTAAGTTGGGTCTTGGTGACTGACTCAGAGTCATGATTCATTTCCAGACCATCACATGGGGCCAGGTGATCAAAATCCCAGAAGCATCCTGTAACCTTTAACCTGCAGTGTGTACTTATCTGAAGCCTAGCCCCTCCCCTGCTTTCGTAGTTCCGCCTTTGGCAGTGATGAATTGACCTGCCTTTCAATGGTTTCTCGAGCTTTCCACTGTCTAATGAAAACTGCAGTTGTGAGTTGCTGGACTCCACTGGACTCTGTACTGTGTGCACGGTGCTGGTTTCCCTCATCTGTATGATGGCCACGTCTTCATCCTGTTTAAGGCATCATAAAGAGCCTCTCTGTAGAACATGTATGCGCCTGGGGTCCTTTCCCCCCTAGCAACACAAAGACCTGCCAGTCTCTTTCTGGGAAGATGACAGCCCAGAAAGCCCTATGGGGCACATGGGGCACTGTGTGTAGGCATGGAGACAGCAGCACTCAACAATAACAACGGATCAAGTTGACCCTGTGCCCTCAGTCTCCTGTAGGTTTACCAACTGGAACTGGGCTAAGTCAATTTTCAAATGTCACCAGTCTCTGAGGTCTGGACAGTGAAGAGAATGCATCTAAGGGAACGTATTTAAGGGCTGGTCCACCTGCTACCCTGAAGTTTGGCTATGACAATGGCAGTATTGAGTTGTCCCTGAATTGGAGCTTGATTTTGAGCACTAGGCTTGTGGCAGACTGTAGTTTACAACAAGACCCTTGAATCCATCTTGGGTCGCCACCTGGATACAGGCTCCATTGAGGACTGCCTACAGGCAGGATGTGTTTGGAAAAGGGTCGTTGAGACTCCTCAGGCCAGACCTGGAAAGTAATGTCTCACCCGCAGGCACTCGCCTGGGTGTCCCCTTGATGGAAATTAGGGAACGAGGGTCGAATGGGCAAGAGTCATATCGTGATCAAGGGGCTTGAAGGGCCCTGGAACCAATTTTGCAAGTTTTACTAATTGCCAATTCTGTTAACTATCCCAATTATAGGCTCTTCCCTGCTTCTATAGCCTGGTCTGCGGGTGTGATACATTGTTCTGCCACGAATTAGGATTTTGAGACACATTTATGTTTTCAACCTTTCCAATTGGCCACGTGGCTGAATTCTTTTCGGTCACCAACCAGCATGGTCTTGCTGACAGCGCCCTCATCCAGATGATTCGGTTTAGTTAGATTTAATAAAGGGGTCTCTACAAAATACACTTGAGCTGGGGGCTTCCTCGTACCCCCATCCCCACCCGGCCCCATGCTAGGACAAGTTAAAGAGACTGCGGTCTGCAGCAGACAACCTGGATTTGGGAAAGTGGGATCGCCTGGCACAGCCAGTTTTCATCTCCGCCGATGGAAGGTCTGGGGGAGAAGCGGCCTAGTTCCCGTGTTGTTGTTCCCTTTAGCTTTCTGCGATTGTCTTCTCACCCGCGAGGAGGGAGAACCCACAAGGCCCCCCGAGAGAAACGGGAAGTTCCCAGCTGAGGCCGAGGACAGGCCTGCGAGGGGAGGGAGCCCCACCCGCACCCACCACGTGGCGCGCTAGCGGGGCCGCTGGGCCATTCCCAGGGGGCGCGGGGTTGGCCCGAGGTGGGGTCTGCAGCTCTCGCTTAGCCCACGCCGCCCAGGCCGGAACACACGAGGTGCGGTGGGACCACCGCGTCCCGCCGCCACCCGGCTTCGCGGTAAGGGAAGGCGAGAGGCGCGATAGGGAGGCGTGGCCTCCGGGTCCCTTTTTTTGTCCGCCTTGCTCGGCAAAGAAGACCATGCGCCTTTAAGAAACCGATACGGGCAGCCGATTGGCTGAGGCGCGCCGTGACGTCAG